AGTAGACTGGTAGAAAATGTAAAAGTACGTGTGCCTTCTTGAATGTTACTTCTAAGTAGGCATGTAGACCTGTACACGTCCATGTGTCTTCTTGAATGTTAGGTCTAAGTAGGCATGTAGATCTGTACACGTCCATGTGTCTTCTTGCATTCTACGTCTAAGTAGGCATGTAGACTTGGACACGTCCGTGTGTCTTCTTGAATAGTAGGTCTAAGAAGGCATGTAGATCTGTACGCGTCCATGTGTCTTCTTGCATTCAACGTCTAAGTAGGCATGTAGACTTGGACACGTCTTTGTGTCTTCTTGCACTCTACGTCTAAGTAGACATGTAGAAAATGTACAAGTTCGTGTGTCTTCTTGAATGTATCGTCTAAGTAGGCATGTAAACTTGTACACGTCCGTGTGTCTTCTTGAATGTTAGGTCTTAGTAGGCATGTATACCTGTACACGCCCGTGTGTCTTCTTGAATGTTTCGTCTAAGTAGGCATGTAGACTTGTACACGACCGTGTGTCTTCTTGCACGTTACGTCTAAGTAGGCATGTCGACCTGTACGCGTCCTTGTGTCTTCTTGAACTCTACGTCTAAGTAGGCATGTAGACATGTACACGTTCGTGTGTCTTCATGCACTCTACGTCTAAGTAGACAGATAGAAAATGCACAAGTACGTGTGTCTTCTTGAATGTTACGACTAAGTAGGCATGTAAACTTGTACACGTCCGTGTGTCTTCTTGCACTCTACGTCTAAGTAGGCATGTGGACTTGTACACGTCCGCGTGTCTTCTTGAATGTTATGTCTTAGTATGCATGTTGACATGTACACGTCTTTGTGTCTTCTTGAATGTTATGTCTTACTAGGCATGTAGACATGTACACGTCCGTTTGTCTTTTTGAATGTTAGGTCTAAGTAGGCATGTAGATCTGTACACGTCCGTGTGTCTCTTTGCACTCTACGTCTAAGTAGGCATGTAGACATGTACACGTCCGTGTGTCTTTTTGAATGTTAGGTCTAAGTAAGCATGTAGATCTGTACACGTCCATGTGTCTTATTGCAATCTTCGTCTAAGTAGACTTGTAGAAAATGTAAAAGTACGGGTGTCTTCTTGAATGTTACGTCTAAGTAGGCATGTAGACATGTACACGTCCTTGTGTCTTCTTGAATGTTAGCTCTAAGTAGGCATGTAGATCTGTACACGTCCGTATGACTTCTTGCACTCTGCGTCTAAGTAGGCATGTACATCTGTACACGTCCGTGTGTCTTCTTGAATGTTAGCTCTAAGTAGGCATGTAGATCTGTACACGTCCGTGTGTCTTCTTGCACTCTACGTCTAAGTAGATAGGTAAAAAATGTAGAAGTATGTATGTCTTCTTGAATGTTACGTCTAAGTAGGCATGAAGACCTGTACAAGCCCGTGTGTCTTCTTGAATGTTTCGTCTAAGTAGGCATGTAGACTTGTACACGTCCGTGTGTCTTCTTGAACTCTACGTCGAAGTAGGCATGTAGACTTGTACACGTCCGTGTGTCTTCTTGCACTCTACGTCTAAGGAGACAGATAGAAAATGCACACGTACGTTTGTCTTCTTGAATGTTATGTCTTACTAGGCATGGAGGCATGTACACGTCCTTATGTTTTCTTGAATGTTAGGTCTAAGTAGGCATGTAGACTTCTACACGTCCGTGTGTCTTCTTGCACTCTACACCTAAGTAGACAGTTAAGACAATGCACACGTACGTGTGTCCTCTGGGATGTTACGTCTAAGAAGGCATGTTGACATGTACATGTCAGTGTGTCGTCTTGAATGTTACGTCTAAGTAGGCAGGTAGACATGTACACGTCCTTGTGTCTTCTCGAATGTTAGGTCTAAGTAGGCATGTAGACCTGTACAAGCCCGTGTGTCTTCTTGAATGTTTCGTCTAAGTAGGCATGTAGACTTGTACACGTCCGTGTGTCTTCTTGAACTCTACGTCGAAGTAGGCATGTAGACTTGTACACGTCCGTGTGTCTTCTTGCACTCTACGTCTAAGGAGACAGGTAGAAAATGCACACGTACGTTTGTCTTCTTGAATGTTACATCTCAGTTGGCATATAGATCTGTACACGTCATTGTCTTCTTGAATGTTAGGTCTAAGTAGGCATGTAGACTTCTACACGTCCGTGTGTCTTCTTGCAATCTACACCTAAGTAGACAGTTAAGACAATGCACACGTACGTGTGTCTTCTGGAATGTTACGTCTAAGAAGGCATGTTGACATGTACATGTCAGTGTGTCGTCTTGAATGTTACGTCTAAGTAGGCAGGTAGACATGTACACGTCAGTGTGTCTTCTTGAATGTTATGTCTAAGAAGGCATGTTGACATACAAGTCCGTGTGTCTTACACGTTAAGGTGCAGTAGGTAGGTAGGAATGCACTAATCTGTGTGTGAAGATAATTTAGAAACGGGTACAAGCCTTTTGGGAACTCGTATTGCATTTTTTGTGATAGACTTGCTGTTGTGAATCCCGTCCTCTCTTGTAGTCGTTTGTTTCATTGGAAATACAAGTAGGGGGCGTAGAACGGCTAGTGCTCATAAATTGTCAGACGTTTGACATTTTAACGCTTTTACACTATCTAGCAAACATTTTACAACAATTTCAAAGAGTATTCGTTCCCAAACCACAGAAGCCACATATAACATTTCCCGTAAAATATATATCATGGCAACTCACAATGTATCTCGAGAAGACTCAATACCTATTTATAAATTGTGTTTATTAAAAATATATTTGTGTGCTCTTATTTTGTGATTTTATTTTTCCTTTCCTTTTAACATCTTTCGATATAATTCATGTCGGGAGAGACAACACTAAATTCTGATAACTTCCCCCATTGTCCAATTTGGTCGCGTAGTGAGAAGATACGGATGTGTGAAGATTAGTGATATACAGAGAATATCCTATTATCGTGCGCAGATCCCCACCAATAACACCATCCCAATCCCCTTTTGTGTTAAAGCACACTAATAACAATAACGTATAAAACAGAACACATGGCGACACATTCTCAACAAGAACAACAATAAACTACCCTATTCTCTGACGTTGAAGTTTTATATTTATAAACGCAGATTGTTTCCCGGACAAATTGCAAAAGTAGCTTCTTTGGACACATTGTGTACTGTAAATGTTAATTAATTAAAACATTACAGACATCACACGCCTGTGTGTTACTAATCTAGTCGCCATCTGAGTAATGAATGATTTTATTAGCAACGATCCACGCCGTAGAAGTCATCCAAATCAAGGAGCCTGACGAACTGGAACACACCTGCTTATATATTCCCTGGATATCAAAGAACATGCAAATTATCACAGTGAAATAGAGATAAAAAGATATTTCAATAAATCCAGTGAAATCAGTTATATTTTTGAGGTTTCCGTTCCTTTTGACACCAACGTGATTGACAAGATTCAGGAAAAACATGGTAAATATGCGGACCTCGCTTTCGAAAAGTCACGCTTGCATCCCAAGTACCAAGTACGACGCCCCATTGTTCTTTGGTACCTCCCAATCTGTTGACTGAAGTTGGGAGAGTACCCGGGTTCGTTGCTAGGAATTCAGCCCTTCTGACAATCTAGGTAATGCAGAAGGCTGCAGTGTTGGGGAGTCTTCACATTCTCCGAAACGTTCTGGGTGGGTTCGACTGGGTAGCTCTGCTGTACCTGAGATCACGTTGTAGTTAAATGTGCGATAATGTAAACATGTCGGTCTTAAACAAAGCTACGAATATTACCTCACCTCTTGTGATATTTTAAGACTCGTGAAGATGTGGATTAGAATAGGTCTTCAACAACCCATGCTAGCCGTAAAAGGCAACTATGCTCGTCGTATGAGGCGACTAACGGGATCGCATGTCATCTCTGCGTGGGTCGATGCTCATAATGTCAATCACTGGATTGTCTGGTCCAGACTCGATTATTTACAGACCGCCGTCATATGGCTGGAATATTGCTGAGTGCGGTGTTAAACAATAAGCAAACAAAGTAGTTGACATAAAATGTAAATGTTCCTTGTGCCATCAAATTGTTAAAGTTTGTGTTCTCTTTGTCTGACTAATACTAGTCATACAGAATGCAGACGAATTACTAAGGAAAGGTTACACAGAACAGATACTGTTGAGTGATTGATGGTGATACATATCCGTCCTAGCATATGCTAATTTGTATTCTTAAAATGTTTAATAAACACTGCTTAATTATCATATTAAGTAATGTGTCAGATACTGGTGTCCATATATGTTTATGAATAGCACGACTCCAAAGTACTTTCAAGAAGAATCACATATTACTGCACAGCAATAACACCGGATGTTCTCGACTCAGATTAACATTGATACTCCAGTACTGAGGCCATTTGTTCTCTGGGCATGTAACCTAATTGATTGCACACAAATTAAGAACAAACTATAAACGAGGTCCTGTCCCTTCAACACAAAGCTCATGCATTTGATCTGTCTGAACTTAGGATTGACACAAGGCGATCAGGGAACATCAGCTAAACTTATTGCCTTCTTTAAATAACATTTGTATGAAGGATCTGATACTTTTTCAAGGCAACTGTTATGTTACGTTCATGTGCGTCACTATTTGATAGCGATTCACAAACATTCCTATAACCAGAATCGCACAATGGACACTGCTTATAGCAGTAATGTCTTATGATAATTGAACAGGGTTTTGTTGTTACTACTTATACTACTACTACTATTACTACTACTACTACTACTTTTATTTTATTATTATTATTATTATTATTATTATTATTATTTGTAAGCACATTTCATCGGGAGCCCCGAACAGGATGAAAAGTTGAGACGTTACCTCGAATTCAGTCTTCACGGCGTGCATATTATTCCACTCGTGTATTTCTCACAAAGCAGAAGTCAAACGGGGCTACTTCTTTGTAAACGCATGAAAGGAATGATCTCATTCGGGTTTTCCAGCATTAGATGCTATTTGTGACGAACAGCGGTGTATATAAGGGTGTCACTGTCATTTTACTTCACAGGGCCTGCGACAAGCGAGACCTTGACTGCAGAACCTGCCTGGCTAGACTATCTCTTATCGGGTAAGGTTGTTTAACATTTACACCTATATCTATCATAAATTTGAAGGATTTCATATTCTGTAAAGTAATTGGTTTATAGTTTACACGAAGAACACTTAAATTGTAACAATTCATATTCATACTCTTACTGGATTCACAGCAACATGTTTCGTCAGTTTGCTTTGAGGTTTTATGGTGAATTCTGATATACTAATGTAAAGGTCAAGATCATCCGTTTCTGTTCTATTACTGTAGTGTATCCGTCACAGACAAACTAGAGTAGTATGAAAGAATCGGAAGACCCTCAACGTTTTTGAAATAGTATATACTAGTGTTATATATATTCAATATCCATCATTAGGCTCGAAAATTTGTTATGTTATTTGTTTCAAATCAACTTAAGCTAAGAGACAGATAAAGATGAAAATGTCCTTTCGTTTAGTTTTTCATCAAGGGGTCAAAGAGAATGAACTTGTTCGCGCTGTTTGCCTTTGTGGTCGGTGTAACCGTGACTACTGGCCAAACAACTCCTAGTAAGTATTAACAGTTACAAATTTATCTGTACAAAATTAGTATGTCATCTGCCTATCCTTCTCCATCCATTCATCCTTCCAACCGTACTTCATGAGATACATGACTTTAATGAGATGAAGAGATTCGACCCGATAATGTTTTGTCATCACCTTGTTCATCAAAGTGGTAAATGTCTAAGCCCCATTCACATGGACACAATTTACTCATGTAAGCAAATTTACTCAAGGAGTATATTTTCTCACGTAAGGAAATGCGTTCACATGCCACCATAAGTAACTTTACTTATGTTAGTACATATACTCACATAAGTAAAAGTGTCCATGTGAATGAGGCTTTAAGATTTGAACACTTTGAGTTTACCCTTTTCGCCAACACTTTGAATAACTGCATTTCAGCAACCCATTCATATACTCTTCATTACTATTTAGCGTTTACTAACAATGGAATCTGTTTCGGCAGATAATCGAGACTGGTTAGTCTCTGGCGTGGACGTTATAGATTTTCTCCCATGACTTACACGCCATGATATATTTGAAATAATGTTCACAGTGGCTTAAAAACAAACACATATACTTACACTGATTTAGATGTGTATATGTTTAAGTTCACTTTACATCTTAGATGGATACACATATCAGAATTGAAAATAGAAATACGCCTGCATACATGTATGTGTCTATCAAAGAAGTTGAATTATTGAAAAAGTATCAGATTGGGTATTTGTTTTGTTATACATTACTGAATCGTTTTTTGAAAAACAGTTTTCTTACTTCGATTTCAACCTCTCTTTGTAAAATTCCGAAAAATCTCCACATGACCAGAAACAGACACCTTGCATCAGATCAGTGTCTGATTTCATTCAACCTTGTAAAAGTTAGATATGTCATATGTTCTATGTTTTACAGTACCTAATCCTTGCGATGGGCTTCGGGATAACGATGGTGTGGGATACATGCCTGACGAGACAGACTGTGCCCGTTTCTACCAGTGCGAGCGACATGGGACAACCGTTTCATCCCACCACTTGACCTGCCGCTCTGGTCTTTACTGGAACCAAGCAATCCTGGTTTGTGATTGGCCGGCTAACGTCCAATGTACCGCAGAAAGTGTAGGTGCGTAGTTTTGTCATCACCTTGTTCATCAAAGTGGTAAATGTCTAATAAAGTCCCATTCACATGGACTAAATTTACTCATGTAAGCAAATTACTCATGGAGTATATTTACTCACGTAAGGAAATGCGTTCACATGCCACCATAAGTAAATTTACTTAAGTAAGTATATATACTCACATTAGTTAAAGTGTCCATGTGAATGGGGCTTTAAGATTTGAACACTTTTGCTTTACCCTTTTCGCCAACACTTTGAATAACTGCAATTCAGCAACCGATTCATATACTCTTCACCACTATTTAGCGTTTACTAACAATGGAATCTGTTTCGGCAGATAATCGAGACTGGTTAGTCTCTGGCGTGGACGTTATAGATTTCCTCCCATGACTTACACGCCATGATATATTTGAAATAACGTTCACAGTGGCTTAAAAACAAACACATATATTTACACTGATTTAGATGTGTATATGTTTAAGGTTACTTTACATCTTAGATGGATACACATATCAGAATTGAAAATAGAAATACGCCTGCATATGTGTCTGTCAAAGAAGTTGAATTATTGAAAAAGTATCAGATTGGGTATTTGTTTTGTTATACATTACTGAATCGTTTTTTGAAAAACAGTTTTCTTACTTCGATTTCAACCTCTCTTTGTAAAATTCCGAAAAATCTCCACATGACCAGAAACAGACACCTTGCATCAGATCAGTGTCTGATTTCATTCAACCTTGTAAAAGTTAGATATGTCATATGTTCTATGTTTTACAGTACCTAATCCTTGCGATGGGCTTCGGGATAACGATGGTGTGGGATACATGCCTGACGAGACGGACTGTGCCCGTTTCTACCAGTGCGAGCGACATGGGACAACCGTTTCATCCCACCACTTAACCTGCCCCCCTGGTCTTTACTGGAACCAAGGAGTCCTGGTTTGTGATTGGCCGGCTAACGTCCAATGTACCGCAGGAAGTGTAGGTGCGTAGTTAAATTTTATCCTCCATTATTTAGCAAACTGCTGTGTTGAGTGTTGCCTTCCCGTAAGTAGTGCTGGCATCTAACTACATTCACGAAGTGTCTATTCCGTAATACATAAGAAGTATCTCCAAAATATTTATATGCGAACAGAAACCAATGCAGGTTGAAAACAAGAATCCACGGACATGTTCCAGGCAGGTCTAATATCAGGTTACAGGACATGAAACTCAATTCTTTATATGAATGTAATTGCAGGAGTACTGCTGTCCGGCGTTAGGCAACAAACAAACACTTACCTTTCCATGCAAATTGTGTGATTGGCGGGTGCTAACGGTAAAGCAGGAATGCTTACCCTTTACACGAACACCCTATGTTATCACTGATTTTCAGTGGTCCGTTCATTTTATATTCACAGCTATTTTGCTGTTATTGATTATAACAGTTTCGAGACTGGTTATTTTATGGCGTTGACTTTTTTATATTTAAAACGAACAATGAACTTTGCATTTTGTAGAATTTTGTCATTTTGTGAAAATGATTTTGTCGTTTTTTTATTGCTTGTTTATGATGTGCAGCTACCACAGCCTAGAATAGGTCTTCCGCAACCCATGCTTGTCGTAAGAGGCGACTAGCGGGTTCGGGTGATTAGGCTCATTGACTTGGTTGATGCATGTCATTGTATCCCAATTGCGTTAATCGATGCTCATGATGTCAATCATTGGATTGTCTGGTCCAGACGCTATTATTTACAAACCACCGTCATATAGCCAGAATATTGCTGAGTGCAGCGTTAAACAACAAATAAAACTCCCTACTCGATTAATTCAATTATGTGTTACCCTCCAGGTTATGAATAACCGAGTTTATAAAAATCGTTGTGCACTGGTGTAATTATCACATCCCACGCACCAGTGTATTGTTTCCCTCACCCGGACGGTATTGTTGATGTCATTCGAATGTTATTGTGACGCAAGGACGGAATGACGTCACACTAGAAACGGCGTTAAAGCTTAAGATTGTTAATTTTTGTTAAAGTTAGCAGCCGTGATCAGTGCATATTTCAAAGGAGGAGCTCAAACGAATTGCGAAATAATGGACCACAAGGAAAAGTAAACTCGTGAGAAAGTTTGTGTATTATTCTCGCTTTCTCTCGGGAAATACAATAATTCTTACACTCGTTTCGTAAAATCAGCATGACACACATGCTCTTATAATAATCTCAATTTGGAATCTTTCTTAGTTTCAGTTTGTAAGCCTGACTTGTACCTCCCGTTCAACGGCACTCTTCAGGACTATTCCGGCGACAACGTCGCAGTTGAGAAAGTTGGTGTTTCTTCTTTGGTCATCTTTGGCAGCTTCAGCAGCAGGATCCAACTCCGCATCCCGAGTTTCTCCAACATGGATTTCGGCAACGTTCTGGTCATCTCTTTCTTGTTCAAACAACTTCGTGCCACGAGCAACGATCAGGCTATCGTCACCAACGCCGTCTGCATGGAGGGAGGTAGCATCTACATCACCACCAACATGTCAACAGTCTCCTTCCGTGTCATCAACGACGGTGGCGTCTCACATGAACTGTCCGTGTCTTACCCAGTAAGTGAACAAACCTTAATGCAGAACCTTCAACAAGAACGTTATCTGTATCATACAAGTGGTTATGTCATCCATGCACAGTTACAAAGTAGCTAACCGATTGATGGGTGTCAGACATCAGCATTATTCATACAGTCCTCATAAAGAGATGAACCGTGCGCTGCTGAACACCTGAAATGGGTTTAAAGCTCTATGGACATTATATCTGTTGTATCACATATGTATATGTACATGTAAAAACAACAAATGTAATAACATAAAGGTGGAAACTAGGAAAGCCAACAGTAGACTTGATTCGTGTATTGTATCAACATTCTGACAACCCCACACAGCTGTTCTTACAAACAAGTGATATACCTATCCTGCTATTGCTACTCAGCATGTACAAAACCAACCGCCGTCTCTTGCCCAGTATAGGGAGGGACCTTTGTGACATAGAAAGGTATCGATCAGGTATTAATGATGAGTGCATTGCATAGCAATTAATGGATAAAATGTGTTCGGGTTATTTATGTCGCAAATTTTAGTGAGTCCTTGATTAATAGTTTCTTATCTATTGCAGAACACCGCCGCCTTGAAAAGTGTCAAGTTGACGGTTAACAATAACTTGATGAAAGCTGAAGTTAACAGTGCCTCCGACCAAAGAACGTTCTCTGGTAAAACACGCAGGATATTCTAATATTACTGATTTATGTTATTTCCCGGGAATTCTTAGATATATTGACATGTTGAATATGCAATGAGCGAAACGTACCATTATCATCGGTCCATGGCGGTACCACTCGGGCAGGACATATTCATGGTTTTGCCAACATTGGTATGATTGCTCTATTTTGCTTCCATAGGCAAGCATGACTGTTCGTATATACCATAAGCCTGATGTTAATGTGATACATTGTATTGTGTAGCGACGATATCGTTGAGACTAGAGAATCTGAAGTCATTTTTCTGTGACGTTGCCGTTTTGAATGTCAATATGTCCGGGTATGAATATTATAATGGTCGTGTAAATAGCTGTTACCAATGTTACCATAATGTTGATATTCGCATGACATATTGTATTGTGTAACGACGGACCATTTCTGTATCTCCAGGCAACATCAGTCGGAGCCAGTGTGGGATCCATGTGGGTCTTGGGAATGGTTATGACTCCTTCGATGGTCAGCTTAAAGCAGTAAGTGAACCACGGGGTTATATATTTTACAGTCTATGTGTAAGATGACTGAAATTTCACGAAGGCAATTTGCAAAACGCCAAAATATTTAAAAATTTGTTTGTTTGGACTGTATACAAGTTATACAGGGTTAAATACATCACAACAGACTAATAATGCTGGGATTAGAAACTAAAAATTAAAAAAGATATTCCCTGAAAGTAAAGTGAAAAATTCAGCCATTTTAAACGTTTTATACAATTGCCCTTTGGACCATTTAACGTTAACACACGCATAATTGAGTTGTGTTCACGTCGACCATCTTGTTTAGAGAGAAACCCCGTTAAACTGGACCCGCTAGTCCGCCGACTATACCTACTACTGTTTTAACGTCTATCTATTAGAAAAAGGCATTCTTCGCATCCATGATTCGTTCATCTGGAAATGTGTTTAATCGGGTATATTTCAATGGGAGCAGGCCCGGTTTGATCAACAGAGGTTTATTAACAGACATGTTTATTTAATACTCATTCATACTTTATGGAATTGGCACACAACACGCAGATGCTTAATTATTCATGAACAATTCGACCTGAACAGTTACAAAAACAGATGGTTTCAATATACGTGCGTAATAGTACCATGTAGGTGAGTGAGTGAGTATAGTTTAACGCCGCTGTTAGCAACATTGCAGGGGCACGGGTGGCCCAGTTGTCTTAGGCGCCGCGATTCGCTGTGCAGAGTATATGATTTTGGGTTCGAATCCCGGTTCGCACCGATTATGTTTCTAGGTTTGTCAGCACCATACCCATGCTCGTAGGTTTCACCGAAGTGGTAAACGTCTGAGACCTGCATCACTTCGGGCTTTCCTCCCACATTTCGCTGACACACCTTGATTTAACTGGAATACTGTTAAAAGCGGCGTTAAACTGACAAGCAACATTGCAGCAGCCGGGGCATCACACATTGTTCCTAAGCGGGAAATCGAACCCGGGTCGTCGGCGTGACGAGCAAACACTTTAACCACTAGGCTAACCCGCCGCGCAGTTGTATCATGTAACGCTCAAAGAACACATGATCTACAATAAAATGAAATTTTCGAAATTTAGTTACGATGTTTTTCATTCATTGTTTCATTCTGTTTCAGCTGAAGGTGTCTACTTGCATCCCTACCACTTTTGCGCTTGAACAAAAGGTCGAGGATAATCCAACACCCTTTTAACTACTTCACAGAAGCATATTTTGCATCAATGTGATTATATACCCAGTTAAACTACACAAACAGTATATTTCAATGTCAACTGTGTGTTGTACAGAGTGCGCTATCTTTTTTCAACTTGAATTGTTATCTTTATTAACCAATGCACGCACTAAAATGTATTAGTTGTTCAATATTAAAGCAATCTTGCAATATTTTCGTGTTCATGTCTATTGTTAATATCATCTCCTAATGAACTATTGGTTTACACAAATGCATGATAATTACTTATGTCGTTCATGTTCGTCAACCAAAGCTGCATTTTCAATGTAGTTTGCAACGTAACGGTCTTTAAGGAAGCTTGAAAGAACAACGTTGATACCTTTCTTTACCTTTAAAATCAACAAAACAAAGTGAAACATCATGTGGAAACGATACGTAATATATCAAGTAATAAATACGACCATTTATATCCATTCTCCTCTCCGCCAAAAGCTTGGTGATGGTTCCTTCTGATTGATCACAATTATATACGTTTGTTTCGGCGGATAGTCGAGACTTGTTATTCTGTGGGTTCGGCGTTTGTATTTATGGGAAGTGGGTCGATATTTCTGCTGATGGACTGAGTTTCATCATAAGCTCAGTAACAGCTATCAACTATTCTGGGTCAACCACAAAATAAATGCTTGGTCCGAGACATTAAAGCTGCCCCCTGCTGTGTAGTAAAATGAATATATTTTTGAAACGTTTTTCTTTATTTATAAGCAGCAGAATCTCTGCTCTTGTACACAGCAGACACAATCCAAAATTAACATATGGGGAAAACACTTTAAGAAACATAATCTTGGGGATATTATACTTATAGAACAAATGATGGTAGAACCATTATGATTGAATCATCAATATGAAAAGTCATTTTTAATTAAAACTTGGTTTCATCAAGGAGTTCAATTTATAAGTGATATATGTCATAACAATTGTTTTCTTTCGTTTGAAGAACTAAAAGAAAGATTTAACATTAAATGGACAAGACTGGATAATCAATTTATTTTAAATAACATTCCTTGACAATGGAGAGGAACAATAAGAGATCAAGATTTTATTTTACACAACAAAGGTTTCAACATTATTTAAATCTACTTTCTAGAACAAAATGGTCTCGGATTTGGTATGATAAATTTATCAGTTCAAACAAATTTGATAAAAATCTTGAGAAATGGGAAAATATATTATGTAAAAATATGCAATGGAATAACGTATTTACCCAATTTAGAAAATCAATTAAATACATGTATGTGAAATTGTATGAATTCCAGTATAAATTCATGCACAAAGCTATTTACACAAAAATGAATTACTTCAGTTGAAATTGGTTGATAATGATGAATACTCCTTTTGCGACTCTAATAGCGAAGAACTTTTACATGTATATTGCGATTTTGAATGTGTTCGTGCATTTTGGATGCAAGGTCAGTAATTTTTAAAAAGAAAATCCTTAAACTTGATACCGCTTTTACAAGATATACTATTGTCTTTGGTCTTGATACTGATAACACTGTTGTGAAACATATTCTCCTAGCAGGTAAAACATGTATTTACGTCTCTAGCATCAAGCAGCAAAAGTTATCCTTTGCGACATTTTTAAAGGATGTCACGGACATTTGTGAAACAGACAATATTTTGCTTATGGCAATTACACTCAATATTAATTTCACACAAAATGGAAGTATTTGATAAACATACTCTGTTTGATCAATAATCACTTCATATGTTATTAATATATGTATAAAAACAAATTTTGTAACCACAGCAAACAATTTTATCTAATTTGATTCAGTTTTTAATGTCTTCAAGTCAAGTATCCGATACCACTGATCGAAGCACTCATAAAATATAATTACAATTCTGACGCCAATATATACTTGTTTATACCAACATATCCACTCCGACCATATACAATTTATGTTTGTTTGTTTGTTGTTTAACGCCGCAGTCAGCAATATTCCAGCTATATGACGGCGGTCTGTAAAACAATCGAGTCTGGACCAGACAATCCAGTGATTGACATCATGTGCATCGATCCAGGCAATTGGGATCGATGACATGCATTAACCAAGTTAGCGAGCCTGACCACCCGATCCCGTTAGTCACCTTTAACGACAAGCATAGTCACCTTTTACTGCAAGTATGGGTTGCCGAAGACCTATACAATGTAAGTAAAATCACATGCACCTTCCTTTATATGTTATCTGCATACTATTGACATGTAATCAAAGCTGTTAAAAAATATCTTTCGATTAGTTTCTACAAAATCAAAATGCACTATCGTGTCTCTGGATTTTCTGATTCATTCATCACTTGATTGTCTGGTTTGTTTAAAAGCCGCCGCTGCATGGAAGGATTGCTTATGCAAATTGTGTGAATGGCGGGTGCCTTTCAACTCTCTAATGTAAGAGAATAACCAGTCTTGATTATCCTCCGAAACATATTTCGTATGAAGTAAAGGACCAAATAGCTCTGAAAATTATATGAATGCACCACTGACAGCAGTGATGACATCCTGTGTCCTGCCCTATTGTTAGTACACAACTGACACAATTTTCATAAAAAGTAAGTATTTATAGCCTGACTCTGCACATCAGTACAACGTCAAAATAACTAGAATACTGTCATTTATTTAAGTTTGTTGAGAAATATATTAGTTCAGCAAATCTTTGTCAGCATTTCCACAACCCGGCATCCGTACAGTGGCATATGTCATGTTGGTTTCCAAGAAACGACTTATTGAGTTGAAGCAGTGTAGTATACGCGTCAAAGTGAGGTGAAATTATATATTATATGTACACTCACCGTCAAACAAAACGCGAACCATAGAAACAAATGGCGAAGTATGAACTTTAAGTAGACATGTTTGGCATTAAGTGGCACATATTGGAAACAACAATCAGTCATGTGTTACCACAGTGTCTTTATTCTTATCACGATATACTGCAAGTGATTTCCAAGGTTTACATGCTTATCCTTCATGAGACAAATGGTGCATCTCGAGTCATTGATCTGTGACGTCACATGTGATGCCTTCAATCACGTCGGTTTGCAGAACATAACAGTATGTTCGCTTGTGTATCGAACCAATCCGTTATCTGTTGAATATGAATAATTCTTTATATATTAATCAACTTGTTTTGCATTCCCATTTCTTTTGTCGGTGAGTATACAACTATGGAGAACTACTTCATCATCTCTTTTTGAAGACACTATGTATTTTGTTAACGTAATTTTCAACCGAACAATCTTATATTTAATTATTTCTCCCTTGAACTTGAGCAACATGTATTTCATTTTTTCACTACATGTAACCGTTTACGGGTTGTTGTAAGATAGCTGCCCTAGTTACCCAATTTTAGCCGATTTTACGACCGCATCACCATGGAAGCTGATATTAATAGCTGAGAACTGCCTTTTCAATCATTGTCGGTAGGCATTTAGAGATAAATCCGACGTTTGGAATATGGACTTATTGGAGGAACGTACGGCGATGCAGTACTTGCAGAACAAATACCAAAAGCCATCCATGATGATATGACTGCAACATCAAGAGAGATTCCCCTTGCTATGCCACATGAAGGAGGTGGATAGCAGTTTTTAAGGTGTCTGGGGATACGTTGAATACGACCCGCGTCCTGGAAGGCGTCCTGGGAGGGCTGTGACATTAGCAAAACGAGACGGACATGACCGAGCGGCGAATGGCTGAGCATCATATTACGAGATCAGAAACTTATCACAGATCGTTGGGTTCCCAAACTTCTGATGTCTGATCATAATCGCACCAGGCACAACATGTCTTGTGATAATCTAACTCTTTTTGAAACTGATTCAGAAAGCTTCTTGCAACGATATTAGACTCTGTATGAAACCTGGGTTCCCAATTTCCAAACAACAATCAAAATTGTGGCTTTTGCCAACAATTTTGGAGGGATTTTGTCACAGTTTCATTGAAGTTGTTATCTTGGCTGGCTATCCAAAAAGAGTTCCACAGCTGCTATTCAAGTCTGGTTTCGGGCAGAGCTGGAACATATGGTGGTCTGACGGAACCGGATCAGGAGAATTAGGAAGCAGTTGAAGGGGTTCAAAGCGGATTGCAACGACTGATTTGTGCACTGGTGCACTGCCCTGGCTAAATATCACACATTTTCTCAGTTTCCTACGTCTCGTAGTCTTCATTTCATCTTACAACGATGACACCCTCAGAATTCCAGAAAATATTATGTCAAACTTTGTCTCAAGCATCTCTATACACGGAGACAGCAACTGAGAGAACAGCGACACCTGGTGACACCTGGCATGACCCCTGCAGCATAACGTGGTCAGAAGAACAAGGTCGCCATTCAGTATTCAAACTCTGATCAGGATTCAGCAGTGCCATTTTGCTTCAAACGAGCTGCTGTGATGCCCTATTGTATATGCTATTGATTAAGAACTGCTGCGCCGACAAATTAAAACATGCCCGTCCGTGGCATGAATATAGAGGTTTTATGTGCGCATCGGATGTACGCCACATGAGACGAGGTGGGGTGAAGTTAACGTCGTTACAGTTCTATGCAGGTACGTAGCGACGTGCATGCACGTGTGACTTGTGTGTATTTGACTATATAATTATATGTGGCGTTTATATGTTGTGTGGTGGCATATTGTTGTATATCCTAAGTATTTTTATTACAAACGGTATTAAGGAGTACAGTAAAATATTTATCACACTTTAAGACGTATTCCTATCTTTACAATTTGTCATTTCGTATATTTTATATAACATTTATCACAAACAACATTTAGGAGAACAGTAAAATATTTTTTACACTGTAAGACGTAAGCCTGTTATATCCTTGCAATTTGTCCTTTTGTTTATTATGAATAATATTTAATACAAACGATATGTAGGTTGGCAGTAAAATATGTATCACAGTTTAAGATATATCCCTGTGTGTAACAGATAGTCGAGGACTGTGAGTGAGTGAGTATTGTTATACGCCGCTTTTAGCAATATTTCAGGAATATCACGGCGGGGGACACAAGAAATGGGCTTCTCACATTGTACCCATGTCGGGAATCGAACCCGGGTCTTAGGCGTGACGAGCGAACGCTTTAACCACTTGGCTACCCTATCGCCCCTCGTCGAGGACACGATATAATGTTATCTTTGAGTAAAAGTGACATC